TTGTTCATTTTAAAGTTACACATTGGAATTATGCAATGTGTTTTATTTTTTGTCTGCCTTTTTAAGTTTGATGTTATTTTGTGAATATTTTCCACTTATTTTGGTGTTCATAAAGGCAGTATTTTCCTTTGATAGGGACAGATTAGAATCATGTGTGGAATACTAGGATGTCTAAAGGAACTCCAGTGTTAGTGTGTTTGTCAGCATTTGAACTGTTTCTTATAATTTTCATAAGTACTCAAGCAGTAGATATTCTTATACATATTCTTGGTGTACATACTTACATATTTTATTGATTGAATAATTAACTCTAGGGTTATTTTTTCATAAGCAAAATATTTTTTCTTGTTCTATTCTTAGCCATTTATATGGGTTAGTGATGGTAAATCCTTATGCTTTTAATTTATATATTTTTAATATGTCATCACATGAGTACCCTTTTGTGCATTACATGGCCTTTTGAGTTACTACTTTTGAAGTCCTTATTCAAGTCTCTTGCTCATTTTTAATTGAATGTCTTGTTTTTCTTATTCATTTGTAAAAGTTATTTATATATTCAGGATGATCCCTTTACATATTTGGGATGAGTCCTGTTCCTATCATGAATACTATCTTCCAGTTTAATGCGTAACAGATTTTTCTGGGTTTTCCGCAGCAGAAGAAATTCACATGTCATCCTAGGATGGCTTAAAACTCACTGAACACTTTCCCAAAAAGGTCAGTGTATAAGTTGGCAATTTTAGTCCAATAAATCTGAAAATAATTATTCCTGGGCATAATTATGAATCTTGAATATGATATACAGTATTATGAACTAGAATATATAACCTGGTTTATGTGAAGTTTAAGCTTATTTAAAAAATGAACTCAGTATTGCGTGTAGGAAATACAAAACCTGAGAAGGAAAGTTAACGTTAAGTAGAGTTTGGGAAATAAGAATGCTGACTCCATTTCCAAATGAAAATCAAGTATTGGATCTTTATGATCTATCTATAACTGACCACAGTCAACATCACGGCAAACTGTGCTGAAAATATTTCAAAAACCATGCCCGGCATTGCCATGATTTGGATGCTGAATGCTCCCAAAGGCTCATGAGTTAAAAACTTGGTCCTCAGGGTGACCTTAACAGGAAGTGATTGAACCTTTATATGATCAGACATTCATATGATCAGACCCGGTGGGAGATCCTTAGGGCATTGGGGGCATGTGTCAGAATTTGGTCCTCACGTTATAAAAGTCCGAATCTGGGCCCAGCTATGTTATCTGCCTCCTGGTTTGGCACCTGTTCTGCCATCTGCCATCAATGCCTCACCAGAGCCAGTGTTTAGGCCATGTTATTTTGACTTCGGACCTCTGGAAATGTGAGCTAAGTAATCTTTTCCTCTCTAAAAGTCAGCTGCCTCAGGTATTTTGTCATAGTAATGAAAAATTTACTAATACAAAAGTGCTGCATGAGAGCCCAGAATCTTATTTGTCTTCTGACAAACCCTCTCACCTAAGCTAATTCAAATGTACTAAACAGCAAAGGAAAGAGGAAGTGCATGACAGTATTATAACGTCATAATGATTAAGTACCACAGTTCTCATGTAAAATTTCTCCCAGGGCTGTTCAAGCCAAAGTCACTTATGTTGCTCTGGAAGTTCATAGATACATGACTTTATTTTCATGTCATTTTCCCTATAAATATACACAGTATTTTCTGTCTATGTTTTAAACGGAGTATTAATTAAGTTTTATAGGTATTTTAAAGTGATTTAAAATAACTTCATTAATCCAAACTTAAGAGAAGTAATATGGTATCAAAAGTAATATGCTTCAGAAAACAAAAGATGTACAAAATCTAAAAACAGAAATCTTAAAAAATAATAAAGTAAAAAAGTTTAAAGATTCAAAGATTACAAACACCTTTACTATAAAAGTTTTATTATTTTAATTCATTTAAGAAATTTGACAAATTGATAAATTTCCTATTTATATTCAATGAAATGTTTCTCCTTTGTTGCCTTTTTATTTTTATATAAAATATTTCAATAATACAAAAAATGTAAAGAAAATTTCAATGAGCACGCATAGATTCAAGAATTTTGACATTTTCACATATTCATTTCATAAGTAAAGATTGTAAATATATGTGCATATATATAAAATTATTGGAAAGTAGGGGTAGATATGTTAATATCATATAATGTAGGATTCATAACAAAGATAATAAAGTCAGGAAAGAAGGATGTATTATTAAGTAATGGAAATAATTCAGGGAAATATATTGATTAAATTATATTAAATATCCATTTGTTATTAAATATGTACATTTATCTCTCTGTATCTGACTCATGTCACTTAGCATAATGGTCTCCATGTTGCAAATGACAGAATTTCATTATTTTTTATAGCTGAGCAATATTCTATCATATATTTATACCATATATATCATATATTTATATCATATATTTACTTTGTCCAGTCATCTGATTGATATCTAGGTTGATTTATTGTGAATGATGTTATTATGAATATTGCTGTAATAAAAATGGGAGTTCAGATACCTCTTTCATATCTAAATATATCCTGGATATATTCCCAGGTTAGGATAGGGGTCATATGGTTGGTCTATTTTTAGTATTGTTAAGAATCTCCCTGTTACAGTCCATAATAGCCATAGTAATTTGAACTCCCACCAAGAGTTCCCTATTCTCCACAACTTTGCCAGAATTTGTTTTTACACTTTTGGATTAGAGATATTCATTTTTAAAAAGATAAAAGCAGAGCAACACAGAGAACGGTGTAGCAGGCAGGAGCTTAACTCGCTGTGCAACAACACTGATCCCTGATTATAACTGTTCTAATTGCAGTGAGATAATACCTCACTACATTTTCATTTGTATTTCCTTAAAGGCCACTTTTTTCATAAATTTTCTGGCCATTTGTTATGAGTGAATCTATTTTAAAAAAAATAGATGATCACATAATTCACCAAAAAGTAGTAGGGAAAGTCGCAGTACTAGTTAAGAACACTGTAGATTCTAGTGACAGCATAGTGGCAGCAGCCAGCATTTATGACCACTGATAGGCACTATGTTGTTTAATAGTCAGAGACCTACAGGGAACCTTACTGAGCTACTTAACCTGCATATTAGCCTCTGAATGTATTTTCTTCCTATTTTCTGGAATTTCACAATTAAAACCATACCTAATTCTTGACTACTAAATATAAAAAAAATAAAATGAACACAAATAAAAACTTGGCCTACCTTCATCACCCAAATGTCTAGATTACTATGCTTGAGTAACATATTTTAATGAATGCAATAATTTTGGATAATCAAGATTAATGATAAATTCCTAAAAATGATATGTCTTAGGATTTCTTGTTAAAATTTGTTGTGTCATGTAAAATCTACCCATCAGCTGTACATCAAATCCATAATGGAATGAGATTAGTAAGAGAAATTGGGTGTTGTGCAGTGGCATAAGCCATTGCCTGGGACACCTGCACACAGCAGCAAAATGCCAGTTCGAATGCCAACAGCTCTGCTTCCTATCCAGCTTTCTGCTCATGCCACCTGGGAGGTAACTGATGATGGCTCAAGGGTCTGGCCAGCTGCCTCCAATGTGGGAGACCTGGATGGAATTCTGGGCTCCTGGTTTTGGCCTGGCCCAGTCTTTGACGTTTCATGCATTTGAGGAGTGAACCAGCAGATGCAGGGTATGTGAGTCTGTTTGCTTTTTTTCTCTCTCTCTCTCTTTCTACCTTTCAAGTTTATGAAAAATAAATAAACATTAAAAATAAATTACATATGCATAAAATGCCTTAAAATACAAAGCTTGAGAGAAAATATGCAAGAGATACCATCAGTTAAAAAATGCCTCTGTTAATGGGAAAAGAAGGTTGCCTGGACACATTATTGGGATAAGAAGGAAAACTGGTGTTTTATAGACTATTATTGTATAAATCAGAGAAAATTGGGAATACCTTTGGAATTGTGAATATTGAAAGCAAATAGTAACAAACAAACTCCTTCATGAGGAAAGAAATTTAAGAATTGTATTAGAAAAAATATATTTTGGAACTTCTGGAAATAAAAAAAAAAAAAGACCACTGGTTCTAAAAACTACTTTAAATAGGGAAGAGTTCACTTAAAAAGTCACAGTCACTAGAATTGTGAAACAAGGAATGACCTGGGACAGGGTGGGTTGTAAATCCACCCTGGGAAAATAAGGGTTCTCTGCATCATTAGCCTTGTTGCCCAATCTAGTCCTTTTAACTTGGGCTGTTCAACTGGTGGAGGACCCAGCATTCTAACAAAGATGGAGGAGAAGGAAGAACAGGAACAGGAGGCAGAGTGTGCTCTTGTCTTCACCTTCATCAGAGTTCCAATGCAAGATTTCAAATAAATGCAATTAGCTCATTTGCTCTTTTTTTTTTTTTGAATTTATAAAAATATTTTATTTTTGCCTTAACCAGTAGTTAACATAAAAGTATCCTGACCTTAAATTATTTCTTTTATACCTCCCATCAGCTGGATAACCCACTGCACCATGACACTCACCCGCCCAACCTCAACTTTTAAAGCCAAATTTGTTCAGTCCTTGATTTAATCCTTACATCACAAATCCATGTATGGCCAGCAAGTGTCTGAAAGAAAAGCCTTCAAATTATACAAATAAGCTTGCTTATTTTCCCTCAGAAAAATCAACTCTAGAATGTTTTGTTATAACCCAGCCTAAGGTTGAGTGACTCCACTGAGGAAGCTCAGGAGAGGAACCCTCCTTCCCATCCCACCCGCCATGATGGAACACCTGTTGCTAAGGATCAAGCCAGAGGCATGGACTGGATGCCTGAAGTTGACTTCCCAGTCTTCAGAACTCCAAGTCGGGCCTATGATAGAAACATCTTAATTTGTGTGACAGCAACAAAATGAACCACTTACTCCAAATACCCTCTGCAAGACATTTCAAGAAGACAGGCTAAGGAGCCATGTCCCTCAAGGCTCAGGGCCCCATAACGCTGAGCACAGGTGCCCTAGATCTCACTGCTTCCCACCTCCTGGGTTAGGCACAAGGACGCCAATACTCTCACAGCCATGAACACCTGTCAGGTTTCATTCTTCCTTTCACATCTAGGTAAGACCGTTTTCTCCCTACATAAGTTTCCTATGTCCTTGTCCCAGTCTACTAAAAACTATCAACACATTCAAATTAAAATATGAAAACATTAACAGTAAAAATAACTACAGGGGAGCCCAAAACCATAGCATGAGGCAGTCAACAGCTTATACCTCACCCCTACCCTCTTCCTGGCACAGAAAGCCAGGTGCCCTAGAAAGCCACGCCAAGACTATGTGCTCATCCTGGTCTAGCAGTCACATTTCAACAGCAACCTGAACCAATCCTGGGCTGTGCTCTCCAGAGGAAATGTAGTAGCATTTCTGTGCAAGACACCCCAGACCCAGGGAAGGTGATGCTGTGCTGGGCATGTGGTTCCCTCCAGCAGCCGAGAAGTCTGGAGATTAATACTGAAAGCTGCGCTTTGTCTGAATATCATCAAGAATTTGTTGCAGCTCCTCGTCTTCAAATCGCCCCTCCAGGCTTGGGATCAGGGCCTTTGACTCCTCGGCAGTCTCTGGACAAAGGTTGGCTAAACAGGCCAACTCAAACTTATGAAGCTTCTTCTGGAGCAGCAAGCTGCGGACACTGGCAATGGTCTCTCTGTTTTTGAAACGACTGAAACGGGCTGTGTAGGTCAAAGTCTTCATGAAGACCTCCGAGAGTTCCTGTTCATCCTCTGCACTCTCATTCTGCTGCTTGCGATGCTCCAGAAGCATATGCACCTCGGAATTTAGAAGTGTCTCAGCTGTTTCAAACTCTTTGGGAAAGATGAGCTGTGAAGCATCCTCCTTGACGTCGCCAGCCCGCGGATCAACGCCACCGGCCACCATAGCTGTCTCGCGCGCCGCCACAGACAGCCAGCTCATTTGCTCTTAAGAGACAGGGAAGCAGGCTGCAATTACTGTTAGCTCAACTATTTGCAGTAGAGAAAACAAACTTACTAAGTCATTACAGGGATCCTACATTTTCATATATACAAAATGACCTCTCATTCATAGCATTTTTAGAAACAACAGATTTCAATACCAAATAATATCATAAAAAGAAGGTGTTACTTGTTCCTTCTTCCAACTCTGGTCAGCAGAATATTTCCACAAAGAGACTGACTGACCCACGCACGCACGAGGCTGACAGTAATCGGACTGGACGGCCATCAAGAGACCCAGGAGAAATGTGCTTCACCTGGGAGACTTCCCTCTTCCACCACTGAGCCTCCACCACCCGGCCTGCTGCCCCTGCTGGGCTTCAGAGTGGCGGCAGGAATCCTGTCACACTTGTTCTGAATTGTTAGGAGACCTTCAGGAAGCACGATGGATTGCAATCATCTGCCCATTCCCGAATCCCCTTTGCCCTGTCCCCGCGGGCTGAAACTGAGAGTTTCCCCTCACCTGAGAGCTAGGGCATGTCACTGTCACTTGCATATCTGAGTTGGAAAAAACAATTTTGCACAGCACTTTTCCTTTCCCATGCCTTATTTTGAGTAACTTGCACAACATGAATAGTTGCTTCTGACTTTTGAAAACATGTTGATGAATCGTCTTATAATAGAACGATTTTTTTTTTTTTTATGAAAAGCAGCATAGATCAAAAAGCAAATGCAATGTTCTCACTTGTTAAAGACACAATGGAGGGTACTTTGTAGACACCGCTGGACTGCAGCTCTGGCTATGCTCCCGGCCGCCGCCAGGGGTCCCCTTTGACTTTCGCATGCTTTAAGGAGGCTCCAGTGGAAGAGTCAGAATCTGTTTAATTGATCTCTTCTTGCTGTCTTCACCTCTCACCCTCGTTTATCAGTATCTTATCACAATTTGCCACTCACCACTTCTGAAAAACTACTGTGTTTCTCAACACAGAAAAATGAAACATTAAAATGAATTCATCCAAAGTTCTTGCGATAAATAACTTACATGAAGACATAATATAAAAGAATAAACAATGAGACTAGACATTCCCAATGTATTTTCTTCTTTACAAGGGAAAATTCTGTATAATTTTAACAGCTTATAAATTGTCAAAGAGTGTTCAAATCATGTTATAAATATAACATTGATTCCTTACAGTATAAAAGCTATATTATGTATTACACGTTTTGATGAGACCATGGAAATAAAAAGTGTGTGTTTCTAATGGATAATGTAGCCATATTACATTTTTGGGGTACTGTTTGTATTTGTATTTGGTCCTTCATATATACTTTTTTTTTACTCATGTTTAAGATAAGAACATTCAAGTACAGAGAGGTGAAGTAAGTTCTCTAAGCCCCTCAGTCTTGAATTTGCATTTGCAGAATATTTGAAGACAGTTGTGTCTGATATTGGAGCCTTGCTTTTAGCCACCAAGAAATAATTATTACAGTTATCTAAAATAATAAAGGAGAGTTAAAGGGAGTTTGGAAAGTGTCAAAGTGAAAATATATATTTTACTCGAAATTCAGGAAAATCGTAACAATAACAGGTAACTTATTTAATTTTACTTTAAGAGATGGTACAAGTGTAAGAGTGGATGGTTGGATTAATCTGTCATTTATATTTAAATCCTCTCAAGGTCATTTAATGCCCTTATCCTGTTAAAATAGGTACACATAAATAGAACTGGTCATCTATACTTTTAGGAAGCATTTGAAGTCCAAATTGTGTCTGCCAGTATACATTTAAGATCTTGTAACTTCAGGGTAAGATGGGGAGTCTGTCCTGAGGCCTTCGGTCAGATCTGGAAGTCAGCTGCAAGCTGGTTTTATCCTCAGGAGTGGTAGCCACTCTGTAACAGCCACATTTATTGCTTTGATTTTTTTTAGAGTCAATTTTATTCCTTCTAAAGGCAAGCTGGTTGAAAAGAAATGTAGCTTTAGTTAAAAATGGGGAAAATTGCTCCCACAGGTTTCTTTTCCATTGCTTTACCCATCCTCTTACTGTCAACAATACCATTTCTCAGAAAGATGAAATAGCTGTCTTTGGTAACTGAAGACAAAGCAATATACATTCTTATCAGCACAGTGTGAGGCTATCTGTGAATAATTAATGGAAGGCTTCACCTGTGAAGAACATGATATGGGAAATTTGGCATATATTCACTTGGTCAATGAAAACCAATGAACTATGTTTTATCCGTTGTTGTTCCTTTTGTATCTGTTTTTATGTAAATCTTGGTTCTCTGTCCTTCTCAGTTCTCCAAAAAGCTATCTGCATTACAACTTCTTTGTCCAGAGATTTGTAGTATGTGTGATAGAGATTTTGATATCACAGACACAAGTAGTGCTGCTATAAGCCATAAGGAGCAACACAATTTCTTGGGAAGAAACCTGTCTGAAGACCTGAAGCACAAGACCACCTGTGAATACCTGTTGAATTATATGTGTTTCTGGGCCTTAGCCTTTCTAATGAGAAACTGCCCTGTTAATACTGTTTTAATTGTGTGTTCTATGAAGCTTTTTGGAAGAATTATTGCCATTTAGCATTTAAACTCTAATAATTTTCAGGAAGTTTTAATGAAGAAATTAGGTTTATTACAAATTCAACTCACTAAATACAATTACCAGTAATCAAGAAAGAATTTCCTTGAATTCTTTTGGTTATGTAGTCAGATTTTAATATACCAAAATTATATATTGGATTTTAAAAGTTTACACCAGTTTTTATTCCATGTTTATATATCTTATTTCCATAGTGAACTATTTATGAGAACTAACCAAATTCATTGCATATTCTCATAATACTATTTATTTCTGTCAGAATCTGTATTTATCCCAACCTGATAAATTAAAAGCACGATATTTTTGTATAAATTGAACAATATTTTTTCTATGTCCAGTATTTATAAATTACTAGAGTAGGCATTACAAGGAATGCAGGTTTTAAAATATGATGCCCATCCTAGCCTTGTAGTCCAGCAGGAAAAATAAAACATTTGTGCAGGAGAACAATCTAATGTTCAACCCATAAATTATAAATGATAAATTAATTGTGTGGAAAGTTAAAATATCTTCTTTCAGAACAATTTCCATTTCTAACAAGTACCAGCATTTTTACAGTCGATGGTTTTTTATCACCTCATTTGTGTACATTTATAGTTGTCATTTGTATTTCCATCCAATCCATCTATCACTTGTGAGCAGAATAATTTTCCGATAAGCATATTTATTGTAGAGTTTTGCAGCTGAAAGTTGTCTTAACAAATCTCATTTAGGAACTACATGTTGTTCATCTTTGTACTCACAGCAGCACTTAAAACAGAATTTATCATATGGTAGAAGGAGCTATTTTCATTTGCTGAATTGGGTAACTGTGATTCCTTTCCCCACCCCAACACTTTTCTGTGATTTCCCATTATTTTAATGATATGCTCAAAATTCCTGAAAATAATGTCGAGTTCCACCACTGTCGATCGCAAGTTAGAATATCACTATTACATCATGTGACACCACACAACTACTTGGCTATTTCAACCAGTTCTTTAGTAGCATTGCCCTTTGAACAAAGTATTTGTCCCATGGTATTTGGGATTCTCCACACAGTGCTGCAAAAGATCTCATCTGTCCCTTAGCATGCAAACAAGTAAGAGCATGCATATAAAGGATTTTTAATTAATGTAAACCTTCCAATTATTTCTGTGAGTGAGGGACATTGATTAGAATATTAAGTTTACTAGAGACATTCTGTTTGGCTTATCAATTGATTTACTCTAATTAATATTAAAGTTTTAGTATGTATAATACTCAGGATAAAGAAGTGAAATCTGTATGTCCTAGCTTCACAGCTGTTATACATTGTAGGGCAAGCCCGTGAACAAAAATCATATGGGAGGGGCCATCACTGTGGTATAGTAGGCTAAGCCTCTGCCTGCAGTGCCAGCATCCCATATGGGCATTGGTTTAAGTCCCAGCTGCTTCTCTTCTGATCCAGCTCCCTGCTAATGGCCTGGGAGAGCAGTGAAGGACGGCCCAAGTGTTGGTTCCCTGCACCCACGAGGGAGACCCAGAAGAAGCTCCTGGATACTGGCCTTGGCCTGGCCCAGACTTGGGAAGTGAACCAGCAGATGGAAGATTTTGTGTGTGTGTGTGTGTGTGTCCCTCTATCTGTGTGTAACTTTGCCTTACAAACAAATAAAAATAAATCTTATGAAAAAGATTTGGAAAACAAGTATTATGTCAAACTATAATGTTCAAATATAGATTATAGTTTTGCCTGCTGCCCATCAATACCACAAAAAATTAATATGCTCTATCTTCTGTCTTTATGACAGAATTTCTCATTGAAGTAAAAATTTGTCAATAAGTATTCTCTTTCATGGGAGCTGTTCTTCACAAATGATGAAACAAATATATCATCTCTACAAGCCTTCAAATTGTTGAATTTATTTGCAAACTTTAAATATGAGTGAAATTTTCTTTATTTAGACCATTTGGCTACTGCTTAATTTTGAAATCATTCAGAAAAGCCTATACTGATTGTAGGTATAATAAAAAAAATAAAAATTAAAAATTTAACTCCACTCCTCAGTAATAATTGTACAAAGATCAACTGTTATTATTGCAAATGACAAGAGCTCATTGATCCTGATATCATCAGTAAGATTTTAAGCTTCAGTCAATTATAGTGAGCTAAGCTAACTCTAGCTAGTTCATGTGTATGTCTTTCATTGATTTTATATCTCTATCTATTTAACCATCACTTATAATGATTGTTTATACATCTGCAATTTTACCATCTGGAATATTACCTATCACTGTTTTTGATGTCCTAGTTTTGTAAATTCCAGTAGTGAAATTTGAAGCCATTTGCTAAGCTTCTCTGAACTTTAATATCTTGATCTATTATGCACACTTTCCAGTGCTGGTGTGAGACCTCAGTTAGATTGATAACCAAGGAAACACTGAGATTCCCAT